ACCAGCAAAGTGACTGAATCAGTGTTCAAAGTGTCGCTGTGGTTGAATCTGGCTGCAGTTTGACGAAAACCTTTGAACAAAAAAACCCAACTTCATTCATAAACCAGTGCAGTTTCTCAGACACTCGTACCTGCTAATTAGTGCTTAGTACAGGCAGATATTAGTATTTCATTCACCAACGCTGAAGCACATTTTTTGGATGGTCTGTACCATAGCAGGTCAGATACCGCCATTAAAAATGCTCCACAAGGCACCAACAGCACAAACACAGTCGAAAGGTCCGGTTCAGACTCAGTTAGCCGAGGTGACGCCTGTAACTCTACCCGCCTGAGAGTGAAAGCAGCAACAGCATCAAAACTTTAAGCCAAATAAAAATTAAACAGACGAGTCATTGAAAATACAAACACCTTATGAAGGAGGAAACTAGTTAGCCAAAACCATGTATGCGCTTGTCTGTAAGCATTTTTATTTGTGCTGTAAAGCTGGACATTTTAACATGGGAGCCTATGGGGACTGACTCATTACAGCCAGACTCTAGTGGACATTAGAGGAACTGCGGCTTTTGGCACTTCTATGATATGTGCTGCAAAACAAATATATTGGATCTGACTTGCTGTTTAATTTCCTGTAAGTATAAAATAGTAATTTTGTTTTTGTGGGATTTTATTAGTATGTATGTAACAAATACTGTTACAGAATGAGTGTGCAGAGCGGATTTGAGACACTGTCTTATAAACATGCACGTAGTCGTCCTTTCATCTGCGAAGATGTTCAGATTGATTCCACTCACACGTCAATATGGTAAATATAAAGGACATAAAGATGGAAAATAAAACAGCTGGTTTTAATTTACTTTTTAAATATAACTAATTAACCATTTGACACTTTTTTGCCTGTTGGTACCTTAATATTCACCAAACAGACATCAGAGTTCATTTTTTAATGTTAATTACAAATTTGATCTAAATAAATAACCTTGATGACATGCAGAAATACGAGTAAAGCAGGGGTTTGTTTGGTGAATTATTTGGGGTTAAATATGAAAGTGGAAAACACGAGCTCACTGCAGCTTTAACTTGGTCCAAAACAAGAAGAAGAAGAAGAAGAAGAAAGGCCCTTTCTTCTTCTTCCTCCACTCCTCTATGATATTTAAATCTACAACCAAAACCATCATAAATATTTGGATCCATTATTGTGTGTGTTCTTCCTGGGACCAGTCTCCAACCCTCCACCAAAGCTTAATGATGACGATCTGT